TCTGGGTGAGCTGTCGTGATGGCCGCTCGCCGCTCGCGAACCAAACTTTTTTTCATGCGGGGTGAACACTCCTACACCTCACAATCCATAAGCTTAAGCATAGGACGCCTAGCTGGCCGCGTGGGGTGGGCGGCGAGCCGCGCATCGGCCGACAATGTGCCGGTGTACGCGTTTCGGTGACACTCAGGGCCCGTTTTGCATGACCTGCGGGGTGGTTTCACTGCGCGGAGGCGGCAACCTCCCTCTCTCGCGCGGCTGCTACAAGGCCAAGTTTTCCGTGCCGGGCGGCGACGGCTGGCAGCGCGTCGTGCTGCGGCTCTCGTCGTTCAGCGACGCGGTCGCGCGCGAGCTCGAGGCGCAGCTCGCGACGGAGCGCGGGAGGCGGCGCAACGAGACGCACCGCGCCGCGCTGAGGTCCTGAGGAGGCCGAGGGCCTCGTCCAGCTCTCGCACCTGCGCGGCTGGATGGACGAGGCCGCGCCGCTCAGCCCGCTGATGCCGCGGCCGATGCCGAGCGCGGCGAGCCCCGACACCGAGGCGCACCGCCGCAACTTCCTCCCGCGCTGGGCGCCGCGCGTCGGAAACCAGGAGTAATTCCAACCGCGAGCTGGCGGCCGACGAGGCGCTCCACCGCCAGCGCGTCGCCGAGCTCGCCGAGCAGCGGCGCGTGCTGCAGGCCGCCGAGTTCGACGGCGGGTGCTGGCCGCGCCAGCGCCTTTTCGTGTAACTCACTACTCTAAGTCACCTCACGTACTTCCGAAGCCGAGCACGCCATCCCTCATCGCGATCGTGCAGCGCCCATGGGCGCCGCCGGCAACCTCGAAGGCGGGCCGCCCGGCGGGCTGCGCGCGGGCGCGCCGCGCCATGTGGCAGGCGTCAGAGAGGAGGAACTCGGCCGCCGACGGACGCTCGAACGACGAGTTGCGGCGGTAGACGAAGGCGGGGCGCACGGCGCGGAGCGCGCGGAATTTGGCCTCGGCCTGCTCGGCGGTGACGTCCGCGAGGATCTCGACGACGCGCGACATGTTGGTCCGCGCCGCGTGGTGCGAGACGAAGTAGGCGATCTCGCAGTAGTCGAGCCACCGCACGTGCGGCAGGTCGCGCACAAAATCTTGCTCCACCGGCGGCCGTTGCGGGCTGTTCGCCGTGTAGAGCACGTACAGCGGTATGCAGCCGCCCGCGCCGCCGAGCGCCACCGTCTCCATCACCTTCGCCGTGTTGCCCGGGTCGCCCTGCGCAATGATGCAGAAGCGGCTGCGCGATGCGGCCTCCAGGTACTGCTCGCGCCCGGCGCTGCGCGCGGTGTCGCGGCGGATGGCGGCGGCCTCGGCCTTGTAGTCGACGACCCGGTACCGCAGACAGTCGTCGCGCAGCTTGGCGGCCGCGTGCTGCGTCGTCTGGCGCCATGTTCCCAGGCACGATGGCTGGTCGCCCACGACGTTGCCCTCGCTGTCCCTGTACTCCTTCCCTCGGGCATTGATCGCCTTGGACCGCGTGGCGGTGTGCACGTGCGAGGCGTCGGGCGGGGCCGCGCACGCGTCGTTGCAGAAGGTGTGGTAAACGTGCTTGTCGGGATGGGTCGCGGGTGCGCCCCTCGGCTTCCGGAGGTCGGGGTGGTCGCAGATCTCGTAGGCGCCGACAGTGCAGTTGATCCCAAAGCTCTGGGTCCACGCCCTCGGATTCGCGTAGAGCTGCTGCCAGATGAGATAGCGAAGCGGCATCAGGTAGAGCTTCGGCACGTGACCGCCGAGGAAGACGACCTGGTTGCGCTCCGCCCACGGCAGCGGCTTCGGCACGCGGCCGGAGAGCAGCCACTGCGGCTGCGCGACCGCAAACGGCGCGACGAGCGTGGGCTCGTCGCGGTAGGCGCTCGATCCCGGCCCCGTGAGGAGGATCTGATCGCGCATCCAGATCGTGTCCGCCTTCGGCCGCTTGTGCTGCAAGCAGCCCTGGATGTACTGGAGCGACACGAGCTTCGGCGGCACGGGCCGTGTGGACGACTCGTTCGGGTAGAGCGTGCGGTTCTCGGCGAGGTAGGTGAGCTCTCGTCTCAGCGTGAACTCCTTCCGCGCAACGCACAGCTGCGAGTAGTTGGCGGCGACATAGACGAGGTCGGCGTCTGCGATGCTCGCCGCCGTCCACGCCGCCGGCCGCCGGGCGTACGCACGCTGCAGCTTGAGCTCCGTCGAGAACGGATCGCGCTCCCAGTGTGCGCCAGCGCCCCGCGCGTTCCAGAAATCGGGATTCGCGGCGTGTACGAAGGCCTCGTGGGTGTAGACCTTGCACGGCTCGAGCGCAGCGAGAAGCGTGTGGCGCATCGAGCTTGTCTGGTTCTGCCGCACGCGATCCGTCGTAACCCGACCAGCCACAAACTCGGACAACAACATCTCTCAAACTCGGCGAGGATCTTGGATCGCAGCGGGCACCTGGCAGGGGTTTGTCAAATTCTTTTATTCTCTTTGCATAGACAGGCGAGCGAGCCCAGCCGCAGCGCGGCTAGCAGCCCACACCCGAAGCTACCGTGACCGCGCGCGTGGATATTAAGCGCGCGAGGAAACACACTCAAACGCACGTCGGAAGTACCACGCACATAAAGAAGACGCCTAGCGGCCAGAAAAGGGAGGCGACAGCGTAGGCCCGATCCAGGCGGCGGAGGAGGGCATGCCGCTCGCAGAGAGCGATTCGGACCCGCATAGCCCGAAGGGGTGCGGGCAAAAGGATGGAGCGGCCCCGCTGGCGGAATAAGGTGTTTGCCGGTGGCAGCGCAAGAGGTTGGAGGGTGAGGTGGACTCGATGGTGCTTTCGTTGCTACTTGATATGAGTGTCAAAGGGGTACCATACCATGCAGTGTGCAGAGAAGGAAGCGTCAAAAGGCGGATTAGGTTTGAGCGCTGGGCCACTCGGTCACACCGCCTGGCCACCACCGCCGACGAGCGAGACGTCTCACACACACGACACAGCGGGAGACGATGGAGACCGGGGGGGGGGGGGGGGGTCACCCCCTCGGCCGCGGCGCGTGCACAACACGACCCTTTCAAAACCTCGGTTTGGGCGGCTGACCCCCTGTGGGGTTTGCCCTTGCAGGATGCAGCGCGCCACTTGCCCCCGCGTCACCCCCCCCCCCCCGGGCCCGGGGCCCGGGGTAAAGGGATTTTGTTATTTCAAAAGATCGCCACCCCCGGCCAAAAAGGGGGGGGGGGGGACCCTCTCTTTTTCTTTTTTTCCGGGAATGCCTCACTTTTTCCCCTTTTTCGTGGGGCCCCCCCTCTACCTCACCCGCAAAAGGGGACCTACCTTAAGGGGCGCCTTCTTTTAGGGGGCCCCTCCAGACTTTCTTTGGCGCGGCCCCTCCCCCTGAGAAATTCTGCCCCCGCCCCTTCCCCAAAAAGGGGACCCCCCCATCCTGGGTGGTGAAAAAGGGCCCGTGCACCTTCGGGGTCGGAACCTTT